TGAGCATCTGTTTGGGTTATTTTGCATTCCCTAAATAGTGATTCTCTTCCCAGACTTCTTGGGGGAAGAAGGTAAGGGGAAAGGAATAGGAGAGGAACACAAGTGGAGATTGGAGGGGAATGATTTAAAGCAAAAAGATAGAAGGAAAATGTGGTTTCCTCTCCTGTGGAGAACTCTGAGGACACCGGCCAAACATGATATTCCATCCCAGCCAGGTAGAGTGTGGAGCAGGGTTTCCAACCTCAAAGGCCCGGAGGAGCCAGGTGGGTATATAAATGAGTAAACAGGTTCAGATAGTGAGCAGAAGAGAATGGGGGACAGTCATGTATTGGAGAACACACTCCTTCTTGGTGTCCAGCAGTCATTGCCATGCCAGAATGTGTATCCAGCGTGGCCCAAACTTCCAATTTTTCAAGAGAATTCAGGAATCCAGATTTTATGTGAAATGTCTCCATTTTAGAGTAATGACTCAATATTTTAAAAAATGTTCCACGGAGCAGGCCAAACTTGTCTATGGGCTGAATTCAGACAGTGGGCCAACAACACAGAGCCTTTGAAAGAGAGATATAGAGCCCAGTTCCCATTTCTCCCAGTCCTTTTCCATGGTTATAACATGCCGTGGCTTTTCAAACTTGCCAAATACTCTTACTGAGGCAGAAGAGATCATGCTGCTCATAGTATGAATGGCTTTTAGAGATATGAAACTAATCAGGATCTTCTCAGAGTTTAACAAGGTGAAAAGAAATGAGGAACTTTATCTGGCTCCCTCTCTGAGGGTGTAGAGAAAGACCTAAGACAAAGTCTATCTCCAAGACAGAAGGAATCATTTTTTGGACCATTAGAATGTCAGGGCACGAGATGATTATGAAAGGTGAGGGAAGCCAGAATTTGGGTTTCAACATGATGAGTGTGCCCATCAGAAATCTAAGCACCGTTGTAGAAATGACCTATAGCTTTTTTTTTTTTTTTTTTTTTTTTTTACCCTGAAGTGGGACCAATGGAATTATGGGCACGTTCAAAGGATGATAGCAAGATGGGTCAGACACACACATAAGAGTCATTGGCAACACCTGAGTAGTGTAAGGTAAGACATTGACTCTGACCCCCTTTCTCATGTAAGGAGGGAAGGAGTTGGACCGGGTAAACGCATTTGATACCTGCCACGTGCTGGAGAGTGACAGGGATCAAGTGGACTGATTTAACTGAAAAAGATTTATTGGAACTAAAGTCCTGGCCCTTCTGAGGAATCAGCCAGTCCTTCTATCTCCTGCTCAGTTTAAGCCTACCCAGAAAACCACTGCTGAGCAACAACCACACTCAAGACCCTGTTTTATTGCTGGGGAACACTTAGAGGAATAAAAAACAGTCCCTGCCCTAACGCAGGTAAATGAAAAGCTGGGAAAGTGGCTGGCAGGGATATCCCATGGAGCTCAGTCTCTGGAGAATGTTGATTAGAGGAGAACCTCTTAGGGGGTTTGCTTCACGGTGCTATGAAACCGAATTTTCCCTGCGTTCAGCAGGTTGACATTTCCCAGATAAGAGAAGCCTCTGCACAGGATGGTTTTTGAATGAAAGTAGAGGCCAGAACCCCCTCACCTGTGTTTTGAGGATTCTAGCTGCCAGCAACTACCTTAGGGAACGGGAAGAGGGAGGGCTAACATCCGTTGTGAAAAGCAGCCCCTGCAGTACTGGGCATGTTTGAGATGGTCCCCATGAGGTGCACCTGAGAGCCCGTCACTGACCCATCTCTGCTGGGCCAGCAAGCAAGCAGCGGGCAAGGCCAAGGCCGTTGTGCACATCCGTCCTGGAGCCCACTGTGGCACTTCAAGGTCATCACAGCTCTTCTGTCTCCACACCAGGTGGCCTTCCCTCACCTGGCCACCTGATGAAGGGGGTATGTTCTCCTGTTCTTCAAAGAGATTTTCCCACCTCATGGAACCCGATTCAGAAAATCCATCTTCTCCCCCTTGTCTCTCTCTAAAGGTGAGGGTCTCTTCCTCCTGGGGTCTTGAGAGAGGAACGAGAAGGAGGAGTCCACTAACTTCCCACACAGGTTCTCTCCCTACCTCCCATCCCTATCTTTCAAGGGAAACTGAGTTGCTCAAACCCAGCTCAAGCAATTAATTGACTGACTGAACAAGGCTTGTCACAAGTTCTCTGGGACTGTGAAATGTTTAAGGGAACCTTAGAAAGGGATCCAGGGGTAGGCAGCCCAAAGTTTCACGGCCCCTCCCACCCCCAAATTCTTGGAATCAGAAAATCTAGTCTCCAAAGTAGGTCAGCACGTCAGTGAGCAGCTCCTCTGGAAGGGAAGGGAGCAGAGGCCTTGTCTCAATCGAAGGCGGGTTCATCAGCGCTGTCTGCGGCCGCCGGCCCCAGGGGCACAGGAGGAGAGGGGAGCGGAGGTGGGGAGGCTGGACCGCGATTTTGCCCGGGATCTGCAAAGCCTTGGGGCCACCGAGCCACGACGCTAGCCTGAGAGCAGACTGCCGGGTGTCCTGGCTGCTGGGAAGGAGGGGCGGCCAGACCCCAGATCTGGAGAGCGACCTCCCTCCTGGAGGAGCGGGGCGGAGGGAGTGCGCGGCCCGAGTTTAGAGGGGGAGGGGCTCTCTGCCGGCCTGAGAGCCTTGAAGCTGCCCCGTGTCCTGGGCCCCGTGACCTCTGGGGCCTTGGCTTCCCCAGCTGGCAGAGGATTGGGCCTTCCCTGGGCCCCCCCCCTCCCTCCCACCTCGAGGACCCATCCATCTCTCTCTCTCTCTCTCTCTCTTCCATACACTCTTGCCTCTCTCAGGCATTTGTTGTGCAGTTCCTCTTTGTCTGCTGGGCACGAGGGCAACTGCCTCCCCCTCCCGGTGCACACCCCCCACCCCCACCCCTTTACCGGCTTGGGAAGGGGATGCTGTAGCCTCGCCTCCCCCCACCACGCGCACACACACTCACACACTCACACACGTTCTCTCCAGCCCCCTCCCCAAGCACATCCAAGCGTGCGCTCGCTCGCGCTCTCCCTCTCCCTCTCTCCCTCTCCCTCTCTCCCTCTCCCTCTCCCTCTCCCTCTCCCTCTCCCTCTCTCACACACTCTCTCTCTCTCACACACACACCCTGGGCTGAGCTCTCCCCGCTGGCTGCAGCCGTGGGCCCCTTGCTCACCGTGCCGCTGCCTGCGAAATGACGGCGGTTCCCCTCACTTCCAGGAATCCGCGCTTCCTGGAAGGTGAGTGGCTGGGCTCACCCCTGCCTGCCACCGAGCCGCAGACATGCACACACCACCCGCGCTCCCTCGCCGTTTCCAAGGCGGCGGCCGCGCTCGCACCCCAGGGTCTCACCGGCGAGGGAAGGATAATGTAAGTTCAGGCAGGAGGTGGCCGGTGGCGGGGGAAGGGGCGCCGGGTAGGGAGCGATTCAGCAGCAACTCCGAGCCGGGGACAGGGAGAGGATGGGGGCTGCCTGCGTGTGCGTGTGTGTGCGTGTGTGTGGCGGGGGAGGGGGCGTTCCTCCTTACACTGGCGGAGGACTGGAAGGGTGTTTGGTGTTGCTAAGCAAAGACTGCGACTTGGACAGTGGGAGCTCGTGGTGACATCTTGATTAGGCCTTGGGGACAGACGTAGAGCTGCCCGGGGTGACACGCGAGGCAGGCCTGGGTGGGCAGGGGCGCTGGAGCGGAGGAACAGGGGAGCCTCGGCGGCAGATGCCTCACTCTGGAGCAGAGATCCGAGGGCCCTCGGCCGTTTCCCCACAATAGAGCTGGGAATGGGCGTCTTTCTCAGCTCGAACCCACTGTTCCTGCCAGCAGGTTAGCATCCTGCCCCCCTGGAGCCCATGGTCAAGACAGGGAAAGCAGTTAGGCAACAAGCAGAGAAGTGTGGAGGTCCTCGGACCTCATGGCTCCTTCCTGGGGGCAGCCACTCTTTGAAGGGATAGAGGAAGGGTGGCAGGAGTGGAGGGCCGGTCTCCTTAGCCTGTGCAACACATTGAGCCTGTGGGACATTGCCCTGTTTCCTCTCTCTCTCCCTCCTGCCTTTCTGCCCCGTACCCACCTCCCTGTTCCTCTGATGTCAACCTCATGATTTGGCTTTACCCTATGGGGGTTCAGCCAATCTATGATGATTTTGACCAAGGAAATTTCTCCGAGACCTGAGAGTGGCCTTAATTCTTGGCTTTGACAGTCTGGGATTTCTTGGGAGTCCCAGGCTTTTGAAGTTCCCTCCCTGGGGTTTCTGGAACTGACAGAGGAACTGCTGAACTTCCTAAATCCGACTCTAGGCCCCTTCACCCTTCAGTAGAACTCAAAATCCCTGGGTCCCCATAAAGGTTTTCTGGCCCCTGAAACAGATTCATTTTTATGTATTAGCCCCATAAAAGCAGACTTGAGCCTATTTTCCCCAGGGAGGGCCATGGCATCAAAGAGCCTCTCAAACTACTGATGGGGCTCTGGAGGCACCTGTGCTTCCTCCTGTTCCCAGGCCTTAATAAGGAAATGCACAAAGGATGTTTTCCTCTTAAAGCCCCTAAATATCCCTCTAAGCGTATTCCTCCCCTCTCCCCGTGCCCCCCGTGCCCCCGTGTATCAAGCCCCTGGCTCCAAGAGGCAGTCTCAGCCTAGTAGGTTGGGATTTCCATCAAGTTCACTCATTGTTTTAGGGTCAAGGACTCAGGACCAGGACCCAGAGCCCAGTTCTTCCCCCATCACTGACATCAAGTGATTCAGGGCAAGTCAGCACTATCACCTGAAAAGGAATGAAGAGATGCCCCTTTTAGTCCCTTTCGCCATAGCAAACACTACCAATTGGTTAAAAGACATATTTTAAAACTAGGTCTGAGTCTACACATCTCGGCTGTCAACTCTGAGATGCTTACTTCATGATATGTATATGGTTCTGACTTGGGCAACTTTTCTAGATAACCATGGCTCATCTAAAGAGCCCCAGTCGGGAAAACACAGTGTCGATTTATAAAGCATTTTCTATAGATAGTGAACAAATTTCCTCAGGCTTTGATGGGAACAAATGGGGGAAATGGGACTTTTAGAAGAGGATATGAATGGGAAATGGTCCCAAAGTCCTGAGTGGTTGTTTTCTTCCCACTGACCAAAGCTGGAGAGGGATCCCTCAGGAGGGTGTGTTCCGGATTTCTTGCCTCAGGCCCAAGACTCCAACCATTTTATAATGGAATCTTTATTTTGTGAAAGTAAGTATGTACATAGTTGGGAAACTGGGTAAAGTACTCATAGGTGGACTTTAGGGATGAATTTTAGGGCTTGTGTCTCTCTTTCTTTTGCTTTTCCATATTTAGGCTTGTGTGTACACATCCATGCATGTTCATGTTAGCAGATACTGTAGAAGTCTATGGGTGTGTTTATCCCTGTGGGTATGTTCTCTTTATGTGTATCTACATATGTGATGTGTCTGTGTCTATGTGTGTGTTTACTTACATGTGTTATATTTCACCTATAAATTTGTGCAGAAGACTATGGGGAGGAGGGATTTTTAAGACCTGATTCATATATTCATGTATGTTAACTAATTTTTAGAGGTACATACAAAAACTCTTAAAACTCATTTTTTACAAAGCAATCTGTCAACACATTAACAAATATATTGAGAATAAATATTTTACTGTCAAGGGAGCACCAAGCAGTAAATATGTGATTGGAATTCATATCAGATAAGGGGCTTTCTAGAGTAGTCAAATTTGTGCTGATTTAAGAAGGTCTGGTGGGCCCAACGCTCCTCTGCTAAAACAGTGACTCCCAACTGGCTGTGTAGGTGGTGGCCCAGGACATGGGTGCTTACTGATTTTGATCTGTCCTGGTTCCACCTCTACCAGCTATGTCACTTTGGACAAGTAACACAACCTCTTTTGTGCCTCAGTTTTCTCATCTGCAAAATTAACATAGTATTGGCACCGGTTTCACGGGGACTTTGTGAACGTTACATGCGATAATTCATCTAAAGTGAATAGAAACGTGGCTGGCACAAAGTGAGGACTTGATCAATGTTGGCGGCTATCATTATGATTACTATTATTATCATTAGATTCAGGGGCCATTCCAGCTGCCCTTCCTGCAGATCCCGAATCTGGTGTTGGGGGCTCCGCAGACGAACAGTAGGGAAGAACGTCTGTCCTGAACCGCCTCCCTCCTGAGGCCCCCATTTTCCTCTCGGCCCTGGCCCGCCCAGCCCCAGCCCTGCTTCCTGTGGACGTCAGGCAGTGATGCTCTTCCCCTCAGGCCTAGATAAAGGTAGGGTGGGCAAGGCGCAGCCACTGAGCTCGCAGAAGCCCGCACCGGGCACCCAGGCTGCCAAGGGCGCAAGGTACGGTGCCAAGCACACAACGCTGCCTTGTACGTGGCTGCCAGATGAATGTTTGTGACGCGTCACAGGATTTTGAAGAGGTGAGGCAGTGGACAGTAAAAGGCCCCAGCTGCAGCTTCACCTGTCCCCTTGTTCTCTCCTCCAAGGTAGCGGGGACTCATCTCTGGAGAAGGAGTTCCTCGGGGCCCCAGTGGGGCCCTCGGTGAGCACCCCCAACAGCCAGCACTCTTCTCCCAGCCGCTCACTCAGTGGTAAGTACAGCCTCCTGCCCTGCCCTGCCCTGCACTAGGCGCCCCTGCTTCTGTTTGGCCCCCAGCTCACCCTGCATGGGCAGCCATTTCCCCATCGCTGCCTCCCTCTGGTTTCCTGCTTAGAGCTCTGAGAAGCAGTAAGGAGTTCAGCAGCTGAGGTCTTCCTTCTGAAAGGAGAGGGGACAGTTGCTGCCCAACTCGGGTGGAATTGAAAGAGGCGTGGGAATTGAAAGAGGCGTGGGTGGGATTAAGGTAGAGGCTCCCAAGAGAAACCCTGGAGTTGGAGAAGCAAGTCCATAAGTATGACTAGAGTCAGATAGGAACTAGAGACAAGAGGGATCTCCTGGTGACCCGCCCCCATTCTCCTGCCTGGATAGGGTCCCCATGCCTGCCTCTTCTCGCTGGCCCTAGATCTGTGACATTCTCTAAATGGTTGGAATAGCCAGGAATGTAGGTCAGAGCAAGAGCCAAAGCTTTCTCCTCAGTGGCTCCTCCCTCCTTCATACCCCCCTCTCCAGATCTTCATGGAGGGGAACAGAGGGGTTCAGTCTTATGGGGAGGGGAGGATAACGCGAGCCATGTCTGTCTTCCAGTTTTGCTCTCTCCTTAGCCTGCCATCTCTTTGGTCTTCCTAGGACCATTTTCCCGCCACTGTGACTTGCTGGCTTCCTGCCCAGGGCCCAGCCAGACATCTTTCTTAATGACAAGAGAGTGGAGAAAAGGGTTCCCCTTGGCCTCCTCCTCTCCCCAGTGGGACAGAAGACATCCCATGTACCCCAGCTTTTTTCTCTGAGAGTCTGTTCATCTGGGTGGTGGGATAGGAGGAAAAGGTTGTTTCAGGTCCCGGCGAGACTACCAAATCACCACGCAGGATACTTAGGTCGTTGGCCTCTTTTAAAGCCTGCGTGTCTCAGGGCTGGGAGAAAGCCTTCTGCACATCAGGAGTACCATTCTGGTTTGCGGGCAGGTTGCCCCCTTTGCCTGTTTCTGTCCTAAACACCATCCCACCCTCCAGCCAACTCCATCAAGGTGGAGATGTACAGCGATGAGGAGTCAAGCAGACTGCTGGGGCCAGATGAGCGGCTCCTAGAAAAGGATGACAGTGTGATCGTGGAAGACTCGTTGTCAGAACCCCTGGGCTACTGTGATGGAAGTGGGCCAGAGCCTCACTCCCCCGGGGGCATCCGGCTGCCCAATGGCAAGCTCAAGTGTGATGTCTGCGGCATGGTCTGTATCGGACCCAATGTACTCATGGTGCATAAGCGCAGCCACACAGGTGAGTAGGCCAGGGGGCCCCAGAGGAGCTCCCAGGATGGGCCGGAAAGGCAGAGGCGCAGGAGGCCATGCCTGCAGTGGGGTAGCCTCAGAAAAAGAAGGGTCGGGATCCCTGGGTGGCGCAGCGGTTTGGTGCCTGCCTTTGGCCCAGGGTGCGATCCTAGAGACCCGGGATCGAATCCCACGTTGGGCTCCCGGTGCATGGAGCCTGCTTCTCCCTCTGCCTATGTCTCTGCCTCTCTCTCTCTCTCTCTCTCTCTCTCTCTCTCTCTATCATAAAAAAATAAAAAAATAAAAAATAAAAATAAAAGAAAAGAAAAAAGAAAAAGAAAAGGAAGGGTCTCTCCCAGCACATTTTCCAGCTGATGGAAAAAAGGAGGAGATGGCATTTGGCTTCCCTCAACACGCGTACTTCTCTGGTGCTTTCATCAGCTATCGTTGAAAAGAAAAACCAGTACCTTTCTCGTGGGAGAAGGAGGTGAGGGAGAGGATGGTGTAGCTTCAGGAAGGGTCCTAGAGTCTAACGGGGACAGGACTCCAGGGTATTAGTTGGGCCCTCAGGGTTTCAAGATTTAAGCAAACAAAAAATAAACAAAAATAAATAAAGGAAAACAAAAGCCTCTTCTCTGCTTTCTCAGGCTTTGGGCTCCTGGGGTAGAGTGGGTCTTATAGGGCTCCGTTTGGGGTTAATGGTCTTTTGGCCCAGAGTTCCAGGCCTGGTGCCCTTTGCCCTGCCATTTGTTCCTGACCCACACCTTCCCAGGGTACGACTGCTCCCAAGGGATCTTTAGAAAGCAGGAGTTTTGTGTGGATACCACAGCTCTGCCTCTTAGAAATTGCTCTGAGCGCCTTCACTCAGGCAGGGTGGGGCCGAGGGTGAGAGAAGAGGTTCAACCTTCAAAATTCCTCACACCCAGTCCTCAGAGATCTCTTCTTTCTCTTGCAGGTGAGAGGCCCTTCCACTGCAACCAGTGTGGTGCCTCCTTCACCCAGAAGGGGAACCTGCTGCGCCACATCAAGCTACACTCTGGGGAGAAGCCTTTCAAATGTCCCTTCTGTAACTATGCTTGCCGCCGGCGTGACGCGCTCACGGGCCACCTCCGTACACACTCAGGTCAGTGACTTGTTTGGCGGGAAACGAGGAGTGGGACTTCAGTATACCTGGGAGATAGAGCTCAGTGACTTCTCTCTCTCTCTCTCCCTCTCTCTCTCTCTCTCTCTCTTTCTCCTCTTTTAAAAGATTTTATTTATTCATGAGACACACAGGTAGAGAGGCAGAGACACAGGCAGAGGGAGAAGCAGGCTCCATGCAGGGAGCCCGATGTGGGACTCGATCCCGGGACTCCAGGATCACGCCCTGGGTCCGAAGGCAGGCGCTAAACTGCTGAGCCACCCAGGGATCCCCTCTTTTTTTTTTTTTTTTAGATTGTATTTATTTATTCATGAGAGACACACAGAGAGAGGCAGAGACACAGGCAGAGGGAGAAGCAGGCTCCATGCAGGGAGCCTGATGTGGGACTCGATCCCGGGACTCCAGGATCATGCCTGGGCTGAAGGCGGCACTAAACTGCTGAGCCACCAGGGCTGCCCTTGGGGGACTCTTTGATGAAATATTTTACATCTGCCACACTCTGTGATTTGGAATAAAAGGAGCATGGTTGACGGGTGACTTTCTTGGCTCTTAACAGTCATCTGCCCTTTGTTTTTTAAAGTTCATGCTAATGCCAGAACCATCCATGCCCCATCCCCCCCCCATACTTCTGAGCACCAGGAAAACCCTTCCTCAAACTCCCATGTGCTTGAGGTCCCATGCCCATCACCATCATCCCCTCCCTCCACAATACCAATACCAGAGGTCTTGGACCACCACTGTCTGTCCTTTACTTCCTACTGGTTCCTAAAAACATCCACGGGCCTCCAAACTCCAAAGGAAGAGAGGAAACCCAGGAAAAGCCTCTCTTCCCCATCCCAAGAGGTTGTCACCTTCCCAGAGGCAAGAATAAGTCGTGAAGGTGTCTGGAGGTGTTTGGATCCGTGCCAGGGGACTGGACTACCCAGTTTTCATAGCCTCAGCCAAGACTGTTTGAGTCAGCATCGGTCTGAATCAGCTGGGCCGATAGCATTTTTGAAGCATCGTACTAAGTTTTAAGCTTTTGCTTGTCCTTGAGAAGAGGCCAGGAGTCAAGCTGGCTGGAAGGAGGAGCTCAAGATTAGGAAAAGGCAGGAAGAAGGGCAGAGGGGAAAAAATTAGTAGGATCTGTCCTTGGCAATTTTCCTTGCTATTTTTCTCTTTTCCTAAACTCTCTTGGGCTGAGATTTAAAGGAACAGAGCAGTCACCTCCCCACACTTTTTCCAGCCACCTACCTTGTTCTAGGTTCTCTCACCTTGGAGCTGGGTGAGAAAAAAGGAGAAAGATCATCGTCAATTCAGGCTTTATGATCTACAAAGCATTTCGCTTGTCTCCTTGTGTGATCCTCATAGCAATTCTGAGGTAGATGGTGTTATCCTCATTTTGCTGACAAGGAAACCGAAGCTCTGAGGAAGAGAGGGAAAAAAAATAAAAAAGATTTGCTCGTCACAGAGCTATTCTGCAGCCCTCCTGGACCCCTAGCAAGGTTCTGTGCCCAAGAATCATACTCATTTTCCTCAGTTAAGGGCCGGCTCCCCCTGCTGGTTTGGAACTGGGATGGCTTGGTCCCTAGAATTGAACCACCACCACCAAGGCCAAGGGGTAGATTTTGGATGTTGTTCTACAGAAGATTATTAGGGACAGAATTAGACACAGGCACAACATTGGGTCCCATCTCTTGAGATGCTTTGCATAGAACATACACTATAAGAAAAAAGGGGCTTCTCTCCAAGATGTTAAACCATTTCCCCAAAAGTCTTGGGTGGATGAGGACCATGGCATTCCCCTCATCCTCCAAGTACGAGGGTTTACAGAGCAAGATCAAAATGGCGTAGGTCGAACCAAGGCCCAGTTTAGGTGTCTATGTACAGGCGGCAGAGGGGTAGTCATTGCCAACCTCCTGGAGACACTTTCTCCTGTCTCCCTGCTCAATAGTAGCAGTATACATAAAATAATAGGGATCCCTGGGTGGCGCAGCGGTTTGGCGCCTGCCTTTGGCCCAGGGCGCGATCCTGGAGACCCGGGATCGAATCCCACGTCAGGCTCCCGGTGCATGGAGCCTGCTTCTCCCTCTGCCTGTGTCTCTGCCTCTCTCTCTCTCTCTCTCTGTGTGTGTGTGACTATCATAAATAAATAAAAAAAAAGATATTTAAAATAATATACACAATACCTTGTTCTCTCACTTTTCTCTCTCCTCTCACAAATATCATCTCTCGAAAGTCGTCTTTAGGGGCGCCGGGGTAGCTCACTGGTTGAGCATCTGGCTCTTGGTTTTGGCTCAGGTCATTATTTCAGGGTGCTTCGATCAAGCTCTGCATTGGGCTTCATGCTCAACGAGTCTGCAACCCTCTGCCTCTCCCCTGCTCTCTCTCTCTCTCCTTCAAACAAATAAATGAAAGAAAGAAAGAAAGAAAGAAAGAAAGAAAGAAAGAAAGAAAGAAAGGAAAAGAATGGGCAGCCCTGGTGGCCCAGCGGTTTAGCGCCGCCTTCAGCCCAGGGCGTGATCCTGGAGGCCCGGCATCAAGTCCTATGTCAGGCTCCCTGCATGGAGCCTGCTGCTCTCTCTGCCTCTCTGCCTGCCTCTCTCTCTCTCTCTGCCTCTGAATAAATTAAAAAAAAAAAAAAAAAAGAGTCTCATGCTCTTCTGACTCAGCCAGCCAGGCACCCCAGAAACGAAATCTGTATAACTGTTCTATTTATTTATTTATTTATTTATTTATTTATTTATTTATTTATTTATTCGTTCTTTATTTTTAAAAAATTTAGGGGCACCTGGGTGGCTCAGTGGGTTAAGAGTCTGCCTTAAGCTCAGGTCAGGATCCTGGGGTCCTGGGATCAAACCCCACATTGGGCTCGCTGCTAGATGAGCAGCCTGCTTGTGTCTCTCCACCACCTGTGCTCTCTCACGTGCATGCTCTCATTCTCTCTCAAATAAATAACTAAAATCTGTAAAAACAAAAAAATTTAAAAGACCCTCAAAGTTGATGTTCTCTTCCTTTTACTCATCTCCTTTATTTCACTCTCCATTCTTTTATTCTTTTTCTCTTCTCAGAATTTCTCTATCAGCGATAAACCTGGGGCTCTCTTGGTTTCTCAAGGTAGAGAGACAGAAAGTAAAATAAGCGGTAAAACCAGGCTAGGGGTGGTGGTAGAAGTACAAGTAAAGGTCAGTGAAAACTGCCCCTCCCCACACTGGCAGATCTAAGGGCTCTCATTTCTGTCACCCCAGCCCACCAATTTCCCCCAAACCAAAGCAGATAGGTCATAAGCAAAAAATCCCCTTGTCTGATCAACAGCACTTACACCCGTCTGCCACATGGAAAGGTTAAACCACAGTTGGGGCCCCAGAATCTGAGATCCTAGGGTGGGGCCAGCCTGCCTGTCAGGGATGATCCCCTACAAAGCCCCTGGCCCCTCCTTCCTTTGAGCAGCAGTTTGGGCACCGAGAGGCCCACCAAAAGTCCAAGGCTATATGCCCCGGGTCCCCTCTTTCCTCCCATGGCTGCACACTGGTCCTCTTCTCCATGGTTTGGTTATCTGTCTGTGCCTGCAGCTGAAGTTAGGGAAGGAAAGAAAAGCAGCATTCTCTTGAGCCACGTCCCTTCCTCCTCATGCCAGTGTGTTTTTGCTCCTGGATGATTTCGTAGAGCCCGGGCACGGGGAGAAGTAACTAACGCCATATCTCTCCTCTCTCCTCCTACAGTCTCCTCTCCCACAGTGGGCAAGCCCTACAAATGTAACTACTGTGGCCGGAGCTACAAACAGCAGAGTACCCTGGAGGAGCACAAAGAGCGGTGCCACAACTACCTACAGAGTCTCAGCACTGAAGCCCAAGCTCTGGCTGGCCAACCAGGTGGGGCTGTAGGCAGGCATGTGGGGACATCGAGCACAGGGCCAGAGGAAGTGCAGAACGAGGATAGTTTCAACACCAGCACTACCACCCCCCCCAACTCACCCCACCCCACCCCACCCCTGACAAAGGGATGAGGTCTGTGGAAAAAGGACAGCCCCCTCAGTAAATCGGCCAAGTACTCCCAAGTTAGTGCAGAGCCCTGTGGTAGGTGCTGCAGGAAGATCCAGGAGTCAGGGAGGTTTTGATCTATGTCCTCAGTCTAATGGGAGAGAGAGAACACAAGGAAGTATAAAACCAAGGGTCAAATGTATATAATTGTCCTCAAATTACCTGAAATGTTGCTAGGATGAACTCTAGATAGGGGGAAGTAGGCGGAGCCCAATTTTCCAGGTATTGGGTATGACCTTCCTTGGCTACTGACCTGCTGATTTTCTCCAGGCTAAGGCTGCTGAGCCAATGCTACCCTGCTGCTACTTGTCCTCACCTCCTTCCCTCTAGGTGACGAGATACGTGACCTGGAGATGGTACCAGACTCCATGCTGCACTCATCCTCTGAGCGGCCAACTTTCATTGATCGGCTGGCCAATAGCCTCACCAAACGCAAGCGTTCCACCCCCCAGAAGTTTGTAGGTAAGAGTCCAGTTGGAGAGGAGACGTCAGCTTTATTTTATTTATTTATTTTAAAAAATATTTTATTTATATTTTATTCATGAGACAGAGAGAGAGAGAGGCAGAGACACAGGCTGAAGGAGAAGCAGGCTCCATGCCAGGAACCCTGTGTGGGACTCGATCCCAGGTCTCGCCCTGGGCTGAACGCGGCGCTAAACCGCTGAGCCACCCACCCAGGCTGCCCGAGACGTCAGCTTTATTTATTTATTTATTTATTTATTTATTTATTTATTTATTTATTTATTTATTTATTTATGAGACATCAGCTTTAAACCACAGATCCTCTAAATCTGAGCTCTGGTGGCCATCTGACCAGGTGGATCTGGAGATTTGATTGAGGGGGGAAAGTGACCTGGTCGTCCCTGGTGTTTAGAACCTATCCCAGAACAGAAGGGGAGTGGAGAGGGAGAAGGTACCTCTAGAGGGTGGAGAGGGGTCCATGTTGAAGGCTCTTGTGGTGCTGCTAAGAAGAGGGGGTCAGGGAGCTCAGGTTCTCCCCGTTTTTGAGAACAGCAAGGACTCCAGCCTATGGGGACTGAGAGAAGGGCCCCGGCTTTCAGAGGGAGGAGATGTGAGTATGGGGTCCACCCACCTGGCCTTGATGTTCGCTCTCTAGCTTTATAAAGGGCAATGAAGGAAGTATTAAAGATCAGCGGGCTGGGACCGAGTCCTTCCCTATGATTATAGCGTGGAATTGGGGAGTGGCCCCACAGAGGTCCTGACCTTGAGGGAAGTGAATGAGGGCTGGTAAATAATGTGTCAGTCACCCCACGGTAAGCAAACAAAGAAGTCATCCTGGGGGAACTCAGGACGGTCTCCAAACCCAGCTCTGCTGAGAGCCTCTCCTCCACAGGTGAAAAGCAGATGCGCTTCAGCCTCTCAGACATCCCCTATGATGTGAACTCGGGTGGCTATGAGAAGGATGTGGAGTTGGTGGCACATCATGGCCTGGAGCCTGGCTTCGGAGGTTCTCTGGCCTTTGTGGGGGCAGAGCATCTGCGTCCCCTCCGCCTTCCACCTACCAACTGCATCTCAGAACTCACACCCGTCATCAGCTCTGTCTACACCCAGATGCAGCCCCTCCCCGGTCGACTAGAGCTTCCAGGGTCCCGAGAAGCAGGTGAGGGACCCGAGGACCTGGCTGATGGAGGCCCCCTCCTCTACCGGGCCCGAGGCCCCCTGACTGACCCTGGGGCCTCCCCTAGCAATGGCTGTCAGGACTCCACAGATACAGAGAGCAACCACGAAGATCGAGTTGGGGGGGTGGTATCCCTCCCTCAGGGCCCCCCGCCCCAGCCACCTCCCACCATTGTGGTGGGCCGGCCCAGCCCTGCCTACGCCAAAGAGGACCCCAAGCCGCAGGAGGGGTTACTGCGGGGCACCCCAGGCCCCTCCAAGGAAGTGCTCCGGGTGGTGGGCGAGAGTGGTGAGCCCGTGAAGGCCTTCAAGTGCGAGCACTGCCGAATCCTCTTTCTGGACCATGTCATGTTCACCATCCACATGGGCTGCCACGGCTTCAGAGACCCTTTCGAGTGTAACATCTGTGGTTACCACAGCCAGGACCGGTACGAATTCTCCTCCCACATTGTCCGGGGGGAACACAAGGTGGGCTAGCCACCTACTGCCCTCCCCTCAGCCCACCACTCCCCTGCCCTACCTACAGGAGTCTAGCTCTGTCCCCATTACATCCCAAGGAGTTTTGCTCGGTGGCCTCTACCACTGGCTACCTGACCTCACCCTTGACCCTGACCCCTCCTCACGTAGTCTCCTCTACCCTGACTGATTTAAGCATTGTGATGAAACAGGCCTTTTCGCTTGTGTTTCTCCTTTTCCTCTTCTCCTCTCATCCCGGCATATTCAGAGTTATTTATTAATATAATTTGTTGATTTTTCTTTTGCTTTTTTCTCTTACCTTGTATCAGTCACTTACCACCACCACCCCCAACCCCTCCCCTGCCCTCCTGCCCACCGTCCCCTCCCACTTTATTTAGGCCTAATTTTTCTTTCTTTGATCCAGCTTTCTCTAACAGCCCTCGGGGGCGGAAGCTCCTCTTAGGCCTAAGAGTTCTGAGCTTCTTGTGTGAAGTCCTCACCTTTTGCATTATCTGATTCTTTAGTTTTGATGGGCATAGCCCCCTCTGGCCCTACCTTAGCTCTGTGGCATTATATCTCCTCTCTGGGACCCTCCAACCTGGTACTCCATACCTCTTGTGCCCTCTCACGTTAGGCAGCTTGCACTATGCTTGAACAAATGAAGAATTCCCTCATTTGGAAGTAGGAGGGGCTGAAGAAATTCTCCCCAGGCACTGTGGGACTGAGGGTCCTCTTGACATGCCCCTAGTAATATGAGTTCCCCAAAGCCCACAGTGGGAATCTCCCTCTGGGATGTGATCTATCTCTTCTCTCCTCAAACAACCCCCAACACTGCTACTCTCTTCAACCTGCCAGTCTACTCAGTGGTGGTTTTTCTCTCCTTGGAGTGCCCCAATTTTATATTCTCAGGGGCCAAGGCTAGGTCTGCAGTCCTATCTCTGACATGTTGGGAGCCACAGGTGCCTAATTGGGAACCAGGGCATGGGAAGGGGGTGGGTTAAAATTCTTCTCCTTCTCTTCCACCTCTAATCTTCTCCACTCTAGTGACCTTCCTAGGCTCTCAGGGGCTCCCAGAGTCCCTCTCCTGTGAGAAACTAGTGGGTTGCTGCCTGATGACAAGGGGATGTCTCAACCCCACAGTCATGCTGCCTTCTTCTTCTCCCCCCTGCAGGATTCACCCTCATTCCCAGGCTTCTGGGCCCTGTTCTTAGGATCAGTGGCAGGGAGAAAAGGGTGTCTCTTTTCTCTCTTCTAATTTTCAGTATAACCAAAAATTATCCCAGGACGAGGAAGGGCATTTGCCCCTCACCTCATTCTATTCTTGTCCTAGCAAGAATGGGATGGGCACAACTGAACTGGGGGTCATCCTTTACTGCCCCCTTCTACACTCAGTTCCCAGACATAGGGCAGGAGGGGGCGTGCTCCTCCTGGCTACAGCAGAGACCCCTGGCTTTTTGGGTAACCTAGTTGGTGAGAAGGTGGCAGGAGGAGATATGGCTCCACTGCGAGTGGAGGTCTCTTTCTACAAGCGTTTTCTGCCCAAGGCCACAGCTATCCCATTCTCTGCTTCCTTGAGATTCAAACCAAAGGCTGTTTTTCTATATTTAAAGAAAAAAAAAAAAAAGAAAGTAAAAACCAAACACAACACCTCACAAGTTGTAACACTTGGTCCTTCTCTCTTTCCTTTTCTCTTCCCTTCCATCTTTCTTTCCATATGTCCTTTCCTTATTGGCTCGTTTGCCTCCTACTTTTCTCACTCCCTATCAGGGATAATTTAGGGGGATGGTGAAGGGTTGGCTAAGGAACAGACCCTGGGATTGGGGCTCCTAAGGGCTCTAAGAAAAGTCTACCTTACCCTCTGTGGGAAAGGAGACCCTAGAAAAACTTCTCTTCTCCCTTCTTTTTCTCTCCCATTATGTAGTCTCCCTAAGAGAACCAGATTGTCAAGGAGGGGCACTGTGGGTTAATTGTTCCTCCTTGACAATGTAGCAATAAACAGATGCTGCCAAGGGCAGAGGATGGGGGAGTTAGCTGGAAGGAGAGTGGTCTCTAGAGAAGCTGAGAGTCTCCTCAACCGTCCCCCAGGGAACTGGCTCCTTGTTGCAGGATGGCAGCAGAGCTGAGATTAATATCTAGGGTTCTCCTCAACTGTTCTGGTTATTGAGCCCCTTCCTGTTAGACCTACCCCGTACCACCTCTTCTGTGTCTGCTGTGTATTTGGTGACACCTCATAAGGACTAGTCCCTTCTGGGGTATCAGAGCCTTAGGGTGCCCCCCCATCCCCTCCCCCAGTCAGCTCTGGCACCTGTAACCTCCTGGAACATGAAGGACTATGCTCTGAGGCTATACTCTGAGCCCATGAGAGCAGAGACTGGAAGGGCAAGACCAGGTGCTAAGGAGGGGAGAGAAGGGCACTCTGTCTCTCTCCAAACCATCACTGCACTTTAACCAGGGTCTTAGGTACAAAATCCTACTTTCCAGAGCCTTCCAGCTCTGGAACCTCAAACATCCTCATGCTCTCTCCCAGCTCCTTTTGCATAAAAAAAAAAAAAGTAAAGAAAAAGAAAAAAAAACACATTGAAACCCACATGGAGAAAAGAGGTGTTTTCCTTTTATATTGATATTCAAGACCAACACCACACACAAAAATTTCTAAATAGACACTTTTCCAGATCTTTGTTTTTTTGTGTCAGTGTCCAAGCTGCAGATGGGATTTTGTAATACTTTCAGCAGCTTCTTTCCTTGTGTACATAATATATATATTATATATATTTTTAATCAGAAGTTATGAAGAACAAAAAGAAAAAAAAACACAGAAGCAAGTGCAATACCACCTCTCTTCTCTCTCTCTCCCAGGGTTTCATTTGTAGCCCATGCTTGGTGTCTCCTTGGACCTTACCCTTTCACCTACCCTTCTTCCTTTGGTTCTCCCTCCCCCTTTTTTTAAAGAGTTTTTCTCCTTTCTCAAGGGGAGTTAAACTAGCTTTTGAGACTTATTGCAAAGCATTTTGTATATGTAATATATTGTAAGTAAATATTTGTGTAACGGAGATATACTACTGTAAGTTTTGTACTGTACTGGCTGAAGGTCTGTTATAAATAAACATGAGTAATTTAACACCCCTGGTTGTTTTTGCAGACTTTGCTATAATTTTCTGCTGGGAGGGAGGGGAATCTCCTTACTGCACATTGTACCAACTACTAAATGTTTTGAAAGTGAACAAGTCTAAGACTAAAAGGAAGCTAAAGAAGAATGCTCACGTTGTTGCTATAGAAGAACAGAATTTTTGACCTACAATGGAAACTGGAGATTTTCCTACCAGGGGTGCCTTCAGGATAGAGAAAGCCCAATTTGCCTATCCATCCAAAGCAGAGATTCATCAAACATTTTCTGAGTACCTACCATTTGCAAAACACATTATATGCCCAAGGAAATACAAGTTACAATAACTTGTGTGGTTTTTTGTTTTGGTTTGGTTTTTTTAGATTTTTATTTATTTGAGAGAGAGAGAGAGAGAGAGAGAGAGAGTAGCACAAGCAGAGGAAGTACAGGCGGAGGGAGAGGTAGGTAGAAGCAGGCTCCCCACAGAACAGGGAGCCCAATGCAGGGCTCGATCCCAAGACCCTGGGTTTATGATCCGAACCAAAGGCAGACGCTTAATGGACTGAGCCACCCATGCGCCCCTGGTCTACCACTTCTTGAGCATAAGTGCCAAGCACTATGCAAAGTATTCATTTAATTGTAGAAACCACTCACGGGCATCCCGGGTGGCGCAGCGGTTTGGCGCTGCCTGCAGCCCAGGGCGTGATCCTGGAGACCCGGGGTCGAGTCCCACATCGGGCTCCCTGCATGGAGCCTGCTTCTCCCTCTGCCTGTGTCTCTGCCTCTCTCTCTCTCTCTCTCTCTCTCTCTCTCTGTGTGTCTCTATGAATAAATAAATAAAATCTTAAAAAAAAAAAAAAACTACTTACAAGTGAATGATCCACCATTACTAGTGCAGAAAGAAAAGCCCAAGACAGAAAAAACTTGTCTGAGGCTGATGAGCCAATAAATGTCAAAACCCAGGTTTGAACCCATGAGTGTGTAACTCCAAAGTCGGCGCCCATACCATTATCCCAGGGAATGCAGCCGCTGAAACTCCCAGGCTATAAAAATCCAAAAAGCCATGAGAGGAACATTAGCTTGGTTCTGTCTTAATGTTAACTATTTTCTATCCTCTTCACTCTGAACTTTTTTCTGTTCTGTTTCATTGCCAACCTATACACTAATGTCTGTCTTCTATTTTCCATGAGACTATACCAAAGTGAAAATTAAGGAGAACTTCCATCTAAAGCCTATCATTTCCCATGTCCTATTAATACTAACAAATTCAAACTTGAGACCATGAATATAGTTGTTCTGAAGCCAAAAGTTAGAAAATAAACTTCAACCCCAATAAAGAGGATTTGAGGTGAAAAGAAACCACGATGGGTTTCTTTTGAGGGAAAGTGACTGGTGTTCAGACTTCCGAATGACTCATGAATGAATGGTTGGTCTCCATCTGTACCATCTTGGGTCTGAATTCTGGGAGGTCAACTTTGGAGACAACTAGGTGGTTGGCTGCCCCCATGGATAGCACTCCTGCTCAAGGCTGAAAATTTTCTGAAGGCTTTTCAAAGATAAATGGAGCTTATATATAGGAAAGTATGTCTTGGGGATCCCTGGGTGGCTCAGCAGTTTAGCGCCTGCCTTTGGCCCAGGGCGGGATCCTGGAGTCCCGGGATCAAGTCCCACATTGGGCTCCCTGCATGCAGCCTGCTTCTCCCTCTGCCTGTGTCTCTGCCTCTCTCTGTGTCTCTCATGAATAAATAAAATCTTAAAAAAAATTTAAAAAAAGGAAAGTAGGTCTCAATCACAGGCCAGACTCGAATGGTAAAATCACTTCAGTGGGGCTTGATCAACATTCATTAAAATAAAGTAGAAAATAGAGGATACCTGGGTGGCTCAGTGGTCGAGCGTCTGCCTTCAGTCCAGGACATATCCTGGGGGTCCTGGGATGGAGTCCCACATCCCTGTAGGGAGCCTGCTTCTCCCTCTATGTCTCTGCCTCTGTCTCAGTCTGCATCTCTCATGAATAAATAAATCTTAAAAATAAAATAAAATTAATAAAATCCTTAAAAAGTGAAGTAGAAAATAGAACATACCATTACACCTTATGTCCTAAGGGCCAGTACTATTTCATGAAGTTTGTATTTCAGTTTCGTACATTTGTGTATGTATTTTTTTTTCATTTTTTTCATTTGTGTATGTATCGAGGACCAATGTCAAAATCTATTTATACTATGGATCGCAATCAACATCACTGAAATTCCTGCCCAGGCTATATACCCCCGACCCCCACCCGCACCCGCACCCTCCCCCACCCCACCCCCACCCCTGTTCTCTGTTAGGCAGAGGGCAGCGCAGAGCCCTGGAGCCAGGACACCTCTACTAACTCTGTGACTTTCAGCACCCTCAGCTTTTCAATCTTTGCAGATTGAATGATAGTAACAAGCAACAATAACAAACCTACTTCATAGGCTTGTCGAAGCTAAAATGAGTGAATACTATAAAGCGCTGATTATGGTCTCCGGCGTTATGCTAACAGGATCCAGAGACTTTAAAAAAATAAGTTTTTAAGTGACTAAGACACAGTCCTAACACGCATGTGTCCATGGCCCTTCGTGGGGTTTTGTCCACAATGGAAGGAGGAATTAACAAAATGTTTTGTTTCCCGCAGGTCTTCTTGTCTCCCCCGTAGACCAAGGGACCAGGTCGCTGAGACGCGCCGACAGCGCCCCCAGCCGGCGCAGCGCCACCCGCCGCGGCTGAGGCTCCCGGCCCCGCCCCCGGCCCCGCCCCCGCCGCCGAGGCGACCCGCGGGCCTGCGCCGGCCACTTCCGCGCTCAGCGTCGCAAACGCCGGATGCTCGGCAGGCGCGGAACTACTTCCGGGGCGGGGATCGTCGCGCTGGCTGGAGCCGTATGACCCTAATTTTCTTCCGCCAGCCGACTAAATAGTCCCGGGGTCCTTGCTGTCACGGATAACCAAGCCCGAGACACGCCTTCCTCTGGGGCCATCCCGGCGTAAACACGGGACGAGGAGGAGCCCCGGGCAGGGCGGCCGGCCCTCGGCGGCGCGGCCCCGGGGCGGCCTGCGGGGCGCGGAGGGATCTCGGGCTATATAAAGGCGCGGGCCCGGCGCTGCCCCCTCTCGGTCGGCGCCCAGGATGGTGAGTGGCGGCGCGTGCGGCGGCCGGCGGGCTCCGGGGAGGGGGCGCGAAGCCTGGCCCGTGGTGGGCGCGCACGGAGCCCGTGGGGGGCCAGCGGCCCCGTGGCCGGCAGGGCTGAGGCGAGCGCCCGCTTTGTGACGCCGCCTCCGTTCTTTCGCAGACGAAGAAGAGAAGGAACAATGGCCGTGCCAAGAAGGGCCGCGGCCATGTGCAGCCCATCCGCTGCACCAACTGTGCCCGCTGTGTGCCTAAGGACAAGGCCATTAAGAAGTTCGTTATTCGGAACATCGTGGAGGCCGCCGCCGTCAGGGACATTTCTGAAGCGAGTGTCTTCGACGGTGAGTGCACTCCTGGCGCGGCGCGTCCCGCCCGCGAGCCGCCGGGTAGAAGCGGCCTCGGACGACCGTGCAGCCCTTGGGGCGTGGGTCGGGCCACCTGGTCAGAGGAGACTCCGGAAGCCCCACGCACAGCTGTTGTGTGTCGGCGTTGAGGGACCTGGCCAGGGGTCTGGTAAGCGTGGCGGTCTTCCTGGGTCACGACCGCTGAGTATCCGTTGTGAAAATGCGGTCTAAGTCTGAGGAAGAACGTCCCCGCGGTGGAGGTTACGTTCGTCCGGTCGGGGCTGATCGTCGGGCCGAGGAGTCGTCTGTGGGTTTCGTCATTTCTTTCTCTCAAGACGGATCCATGTTCTTGGGCGAGGGGAAGGGGCCCGGGAGGAGGCTTTAGGGCTGGTGCCGCTGCTGAAGGGACCGGAGTGCGGCTTCACTGCGTGTGGCCTGTGGCGACGAGAACAGGGTTAGCGGGCTGTCCACCTGTGAAAATGCCCCCGTATTCCGTGATCAGAAGCCATAGTTGCCTAGGGAGGGGAACTTGGCCCCCCTGTCTGAGGGAACGGGCGCGGCGCGGCTACGTGCTGCCACCGTCACGCCTCTCCCTTTCTGTCCCTTAGCCTACGTGCTTCCCAAGCTGTACGTGAAGCTCCATTACTGCGTGAGTTGTGCCATTCACAGCAAGGTAGTCCGGAATCGCTCTCGTGAAGCGCGGAAGGACCGAACACCCCCGCCCCGATTTAGACCCGCGGTAAGTAGCTTTAAAACAGACCCGGAAAAAAAAAAAAAAAAAGGAAAAAAAAAAGAAAACAGACCCGGAGCCAGAGGGGTGATGGACAGGAGAGAGAGGAGGACCCGAGGAGTAGAAAGTCAAGGCCGAGGGAGGGAGGGAGGCAGGCAGGCGGACTCCTAGCTAAAACGTTTGTTTGGCAACTCTCCTAAAGAGGAGCTATTAGAATTTGTTCCAGATGGAGTGACATGGCTCATTCACATTGACCGGTTTTCTGTGCATGTATAGTCCAAAGGCATTGTTGGGGGGCAGTCCAGTTATTTCGTTACCGTTTTTAAACGTACTGTTATGTTTTTTCAGGGAGCCGCCCCACGACCTCCACCGAAGCCCATGTAAGCAGCTGAGTCCTTAACGACTGAAGAAAAAGTGTTCTCCGGGGAAAAAAATAAATGGCGATTATACTTTATATAACCTGTTGAGTGTATGTGTTGTCGGAGTGGGGTGTCCTGGGGACTGTAATTTTAACATTCAAGCATGGAGTGCCATGTAGTTTATTCATGAGGGAGGAAGTTTCTGTAAGTAAAGACTTAACTTGGATTTCTTTTGTATTTGTATTCTTGGCCTCCCCAACTTGTTACCTGGGGGAGAGGATTCAGCAAGGTACTTGTGAGTGTTAGATTAATGCCACCTTGCTAGTGGATTAGGTTGATGTATTAAAAGGAGTAAGGAGCAAGGAGGATCAGGAAAAACTTGATTGAGGAACACCTCGGGAAATGATTTCTGGAATGAGATGTGCCTACCCCTGGTGGGGGACACAAGACTTTAACAGGAAGTACCTGATTTAGCTTTTAAGGGGATCTGTATTCAGAGCCTTAATTTCATAAATTAACCTACCTGGAATTGGTTGGCTACTATAAACTCTCTTTTGGACAATTTGCATCTTTCAGTGGCGTGTTTGGAATAAATATGTTTAGGTACCAGAGGTATTCCTAGAAACTTGAGATAGTCCCAAAAGAGGAAAGAATTTCCACACAAAGTATGGAGGAAAGCTGTATCTTATTTCATGTGTGACAATGATTTGTTTTTTCTAAGGTTTAGAAATTAGTTAGTAGCTAAGAATATACGTGTTTGAGAAATCCATTTGGAAATGGATTGATAATGACTTGTTTTGCCGGTGAAGTTCCATGATTATCCACACCCACCCCCCTCCAAACTAAACTAACCCTGTAGCTTGAAAGTTTGAGTTAAAGTAACACTTAAGGGGTACTTGGGTGGCTTGGTCAGTTCAACATAGACTCTTGGTTCAGGGTCCTGGAATCCAGGGAATCTGCTTCCCCTCTCCCTCTGTTCCTCCACTGTGAGTGTACTCTTTCTCCAAATTCTTTTTTTTTTTTTTATAAGATATTTCAGGGACACCTGGGTGGCTCAGTGGTTGAGCATCTGCCTTTGGCTCAGGGTGTGATCCTGGAGTCCCTGGATCGGGTCCCACGTTGGGCTCCCTGCATGGAGCCTGCTTCTCCCTCTACCTTTGTCTCCGCCTCTCTCCTCTCTTGTTTCTCATGAATAAATAAAATCTTTAAAAAAAAATTACTCATAAGAGGCAGAGACACAGAAGCGGGGACCATGCAGGGAGCCCAACGTGGGACTCGATCCCGGACAGGATCACACCCTGGGCTGAAGATGGCGCTAAACCGCTGAGCCACCCGGGCTGCCCAAATCTTTTATTTTTATTTTTTATTTTTAAATTTTTTAAATTTTCTTTTTTTGTTTATGATAGTCACAGAGAGAGAGAGGCAGAGACACAGGCAGAGGGAGAAGCGGGCTCCCGGTGCAGGGAGCCTGCAAAGAAAGAACTTTTATTTCTTTAAGTGAGCACAAGTTGGGGGGGTGGGGGGTGGGAAACCAGACTCTCCACTGAGCAGAGCCTGACAAGGGGGCTCAGTCCCAGGACCCTGAAGTCCTGATGTAAGGAGAAGGTAGACCATTGACTGAGCTAGGGGTATTGGTTTTGGCTTACGTCATGATTGAGGGTCATCCGATGGAATTCCCCCCTTAGTGGGGAGTCTGCTTGTCCCTTCTTCCTATATTCCTTCCCGCATCCCCACATGCTTGCTCCCTTGCTCACTGGCTCTCTTAAAATCTTAAAATGCATCCTTCAATGGGAATCATGTTTTGTGTCTATTTAAAGGAATAATGATAACAAGGAGAAGGGGTAGATTATTTCAGAGCATAGACGTAGCTCTGTTAATGGAACTAACAACAACAAAAATAACCCAGAAACTGCTTGTTCCACATGCTCACAGCCAATTTACCAATGTGTATGCTGAAACCACTGTGGCAAATCCTGAATTTGTCAGAACACGACGTAGGCAAGAGTGTCTCCATCATTTGGGGAGGAAGGTCCACAAGACGTCTCTTTCATTCCTCTCTGCTGTAATGACCCCTTTATACCAGGGGTAAACACTGGGTGGAACAAAAAGGTCTGAAGTAAAAATGAGCGCTAAACCTGATTCTCGGGCAGCCCTGGTGGCGCCGTGGTTTAGCGCCACCTGCAGCCCGGGGTGTGATCCTGGGGACCCTGGATCAAGTCCCACGTCAGGCTCCCTGCATGGAGCCTGCTTCCCCTCTGTCTGCCTCTGCCCCACCCCACCCCTCTGTGTCTCTATGAATAAATAAATAAAATCTTAAAAAAATAGTAATAATAAAAAAATAAACCTGATTCTCAAGTCCCAGTTTGATCAATAAAACCGGATTCAAGTGGTAAATCCAACCATGTAACATTTTATTTTTAAGTAACCTCTACATCCAACATGGAACTTGAACACAACTCCCCAAGATCAGGAGTCCCATGCTCTCCTGATTTGTGCTTTTTTTTGTTGTTGAGAGGCAGAACAAAGCAGGCTCCCCACTGAGTGGCTCTATCCCAGAACCTAATGATGAGCCAAATCAGTTACATAACCTACAGAGCCACCCAGGTGCCTCAGGTTGATGCATTAAAAAATGTGATCTTGGACTACCTGGCTGGCTCAGTTGAAGTGTGCTTGGTCTTGGGGCTGTAAATTCTATCCCACATTGGGTGTAGAAATTACTTAGTCTTAAAAATAAAAAATGTGATCCTATCTCCAGGGATCATACATTCCAGAGCCTAACACAACTTAAGAACTGGTTGAGCAATTTCTCTACTTGCAGATAATCCCAAATTCGTTGAGATTTTGGAGTGCCAGAGATGACTGACCAGATTTTCGTGCTTCAGGCTTTAAAGTAGTCCCACTCTACCTCCCAACCCAACACCCGTTGCAAATAATTCAAACCTTGCCTTGTCCTATGGGCAACCAGGACATTGTTTCCATCTAGGGAAAAGCCACATATTATGCCATCAGAAGTGGCCCACAAATCAGCTTGAGGTTCTCTAGCTGTTTGGACAGTAAAATGAACAGCCTGCTCTAAGCTATTGTGGGCTGAAGTTGTAGTAGTTGATCACAAAAAAGGTGGTATAGACAATTGAGTCCCTATTTCCCACTCCCACCCAGTTTGAGTGAACTTTAGTAGGTGAGAAGTTAGTTGCCATTTCAGCACCTCCCTAACTTTCTGAAGTGTCCTCCAGTCTCAATGTATAAAGTATTCAAGCCAGCTAGAGGTCTCTGGGCCAATCCAGTCTTTGGTCCAATGTCTACCTTTGAGGTATTTGGATCTGAAGTCATTGTCCCTGTGGTAATCAGGATTCACTGATGTCCTGGACCTCCCTTTGCCTCAACCCCAAATCCTGTACCTTGTTTTATTTTTGCTTCCTTTTCTATAACTTAGCAAGTAGAAGGACAAAATTATTGTCTATCACACTATTTAAGTTAATACCCTTCTTTATATGTTTATTCTTTTAGTTAGTATTAGGTATAGAGAGGTGTTCGCTTCATATGCATTAATAAGCCGATAGGCTTGTCAAAAGCTGAGCCAGTAGATGAAAGAACAGGCTAGAATCTAGATTCATTCATTTATTCAATAAATATTAACTTGCCAATGTGCTTGGCACTTAGTTTCTCAGTCCAAGTCCCCCATTAAACAGCTGTCTGGAAAAAAAAACAAACAAACAGCTGTCTGGATAAGAACCTAGTGGGGATCCCTGGGTGGCGCAGTGGTTTGGCGCCTGTCTTTGGCCCGGGGCGCGATCCTGGAGACCCGGGATCGAATCCCACGTCAGGCTCCCGGTGCATGGAGCCTGCTTCTCCCTCTGCCTGTGTCTCTGCCTCTCTCTCTCTCTCTCTCTCTCTCTCTCTCTCTGTGACCGTCATTAAAAAAAAAAAAAAATTAAAAAAAAAAAGAACCTAGTGGACTCAGATATACATCTCACCTCTGATAATTCTAGCTATGTGACCTTAGGTGAGTTACTTAACCTCTCTAATTTTCTTTCCTTTTCTTTCTCTTTCTTCCTTTCTTTTTCTTTTTCTTTTTCTTTTAAAAGATTTTATTTACTCATGAGAGGCACAGAGACAGAGAGGCAGAGGGAGAAGCAGGCTCCATGCAGGGAGCCCCACGCGGGACTCAATCCTGGGTCTCCAGGATCACGCCCTGGACTGAAGGCAGCACTAGGGCAGCCCCAGTGGCGCAGCGGTTTAGCGCCGCCTGCAGCCCAGGGTGTGATCCTGGGGACCGGGGATCGGTGATCGAGTCCCAATTCGGGCTCCCTGCTTGGAGCCTGCTTCTCTCTCTGCCTGAGTCTCTGCCTCTGTGTGTGTGTGTGTGTGTGTCTCACGAATAAATAAATAAAGTCTTTTAAAAAAAAAAAAAAGAAGGCAGCACTAAACCGCTGAGCCACCTGAGCTGCCCTCTTTCTTTCTTTTTAAATATTTTATTTATTTATTCATGAGAGACATAGAGAGAGAGGCAGAGACACAGGCAGAGGGAGAAGCAGTTTCCATGCAGGGAGCCCCGATGTGGGACTGGATCCCGGGTCCCCAGGATCACACCCTAAGCTAAAGGCTCAACCGCTGAACCACCCTGGCGTCCTTTCTCTCTTTCTCTTTCTCTCCCCTCCCTCCCTTCCATTTTTTGTTATCCCTTATTTTTTTAAAGTGGTGTTTGTTTTTTTTAATTCATTCATGAGATACACAGAGAGAGGCAGAGACACAGGCAGAGAGGGAGAAGCAGGCTGAGCCACCCAGGTGTCCCCTCCCTCCCCTCTCGCCTTGTTAGGCTTGAATTTATAATCCTGAGATCAAGTTACATGCTGTCCAACTTGAGCTAGCCAGGCACCCCCTCTCTTCAATTTTCTAATCTTTAGGTGATCTTTCCAATTTCATAGTATTTTTGTGAGGTTTAAGTGGTATGAAACAATCATTTATTCAAGAAATATTTATTGCTGGGATCCCTGGGTGGCGCAGCGGTTTGGCGCCTGCCTTTGGCCCAGGGCGTGATCCTGGAGACCCGGGATCGAATCCCACGTCGGGCTCCCGGTGCATGGAGCCTGTTTCTCCCTC